ATTTTATTTTATTTTAGTGAATTTGTTGGATTTAATTTGATTATTTATAGTCTTTTTATCTAAGTAGTATCAACAATTTGGCGTAAAATGGTGTTAGAACGGACAAAATCGGACTACAAATCTATTAAAAACTAGTTATTTAATAAAATAAATAATAATAATTAAAAAATAATTCGGGATTTATCATAGGCTGTTTGATCAAACAAAATTAGCAAGTACGATTTGCATGTGAAACGCATGGTATGGACATGATTTGTTTATTAATTTATCTTGTTTTTAATTTATTTTTAAATAATAAGGTGTTATTTTATTTTATTTCAGAGTATTTTTGTCAAATTTTATTTTTTTCCTAATTTTTTATAACATTTTTATTTGAATAGTACCGAAAATTTAATGCAAAACAAAGTTAAAATGGACAAAATCAGACTACAAATAACTCCATAATAAATAAATAAAAATAATAAGTAATAATTTAAAATAAAACCGGAGTATTTTTCAAGCCGTTGGATCTAAAAGTTCAACGGCCAAGATGGGCGTGTGAGTAAGACGATGTAACGACCCCTCACGGATCATCACAGTTATCTTAACTTTCAAACATTTATCTCTTAAAGAATGTGAAAAATAGTTAAGCTTAAAACACTTTATTTTGAATGGCTTAAAGAAATCATAGAATTTTTTTCTTACATATTAAAATTCATATTGTGCAAAAAAAAAAAAAAAAAAATCAAAAGTATTCTTCAAATCTAAATTACCAAAACCAAAGTTCCAAGCAATAAACAATAAAAATTAAAACGCTATTAAAACTTTAACTCTTTCATTCCATGATCGCTTCTCCTGTTTTCCTATCACGCATAGCTCGCATCCGCTCCATGATTCTCCATGGCCACATCTTACCCTTTTGATTGTCTGCAACAAGAAAAAACTTATATAAGCAGGGGCTTAGTAAGACACTTAAATCTCACAAACATAAATGAACATTTTTATTCATCAATAATAAACGTCATTATGGGAATAATTATTTTTGCACATATTTTAACATTAAAATTCATCATATATTGGGTCCGACGTTGTACCATCATAGCGCGCAAGCCACAGAAAGTAAGGGGTAGCAAATCTCATACCAACCGTGATAATAAGACCGTTCACCGGTCACCATCAAGGTGTACAACGCCATTTAAAAAACTAAAAATACATATATACATTTTTCTTCAAAACATCATCATAAGAGGATTATTAAAAACGTCATAACATCATCATAAACATCAAAATCATATATTCTCAATTATTCAATTCATATTGTAGGTGAGAGTGTACATACATAAATGTCTTACTTAACCTTTTTAAATTTTCTAACAGTGTCGTGACGAATGAGGTCATCGGGTGCTCACCTCTAAAACCGTTCATGCCATAAATCATAAATATAATAAAATTAAAAACATTAATTCATCAAATCCATCCATCATATTGAAACAACACCTAAAAAGCCAATTCCATAATTTAATAACATCATGACACCAAAAAATATCTCAATAATTACACAAATTTCCCAAATCTTACAAAAACTGACAACCTGACCTTTATCTATTTAAAAATTCATAACAAAGCATAGAAAACTCAAAATAATGTAACACTGGTGCCAAATGAAAATACACATCAAGATCTTTTCAATGACATTAAAAATGGAGTTCGTTTGGTCCCTCAAACGCTACTTTAAAATCATATCATATAAGCTAAAAAATTCCACTACAGTACACTTTGAAAATACCAAAATAAATTTATTAAGGATAAAATTAATTTCAACCATATGCATACTTTAACTAGCCCTAAGACATGTTCCTAAAACACCCAAATCACACATTCTATAAAAATTCTCATGGAAAAGCGAATTAGAAACATCAATATGACCATCAAAATTCACATATCTCGCAACTCGAATCCAAAAAAAAATAATATGCTAACTCATGTTTCTATGAAATCATAATTTATAACATAAAAAGGAAAAATGAAACAATAATATAAGAAAATAACATAATTCCTAACATGTCTCTCTAAACTTTATCAAATTATGAATACACCCAAACACCCAAAACAATAACCGGGTCATACATGATAATCTCAAAATAAAAGCGTGCAGCCATGGACATTAAAACCTCACCTAAATCACATATATAATTCCTCAATCATCAACTAAAGAAAATTATTCATCATCTTCTTAAACCAACAGCCAACACCAAAGGAAATCACCTAATAACCATGAATACTAAATTAGAGATGGAACATACCATGAAGTCTTCTTGATTGTGGCTTGGAAGAACCAAAGGTTTACAAAAAAGGGTTAGAATAATGGAGGTTTGATGGCTGGTCTTGGAGGCTCTCTGTGGCGTTTTTGAACGTGAGGGAAAGAAGAAGAAAGAGGGAGAGAGAGAAAGTGTGTGTGTAGGAGTTGAAAATGCATATTGACTCATAAATCATGTAAAATTAAAAAGGATTGACTAGGCATTAATTTGAGGATTAATTCTTTGATTAAATGACCCTTAACAGCTGAGGAAATGGCTGTCATTAGGGTGTAAAATCGTGTGGAAGACAAATAGAAGAGTTAGGTCAACTTTTAGAATTTCCGTTCTTGTTCGCGTGCAGTAACCTGGTCGGAGACTGCTGGATATCCGGATGGTATACTGGCCACATCTTCTTATTCGGATGTCCAATTTGTGCAAATGAGTAGGCATTAGAAAGCTGATGAAGCTGACTCCAAACGACCGCAAACTAAATGAAACTACAACGCTAGACAAACCCAAAACAGCCCGAACCAATGCAATTAAAATTTGATAAACATGATCTTGTTTCTCTAAGCTGTATTACTAAATTATTGTTGTTATTATTATTATTGGAGGAAAATCTTAAAAAAGAAAAGTTGTAGAAGAAACATTAATGAATTAACATGCATATTGCTGGAATGTAGATGATAAACTTACATTCCAGCAAAATCCGTAGGTACAGAAACATGGGACATAAAAGGTTACAGAAGCTCATAAACGAATTCTAATCAGAAATCAGACAAACAACAAAAATCCATGAAGAATCAAAATGTTGTGATGAACGTACATATAATTAATACCAAGAATGAAGCTAGCCATCGACTTGAGGAAGTAATGAAATTATATTGTGCCCAAGATATTACTTTTATTATGTAAAAGCTGTCTCTTGACGACAGAGGCAGCTTGATCTCGCGATAGCCGACAGGGGAGGAGAGCTCAATTAGGTGATGGGGGAGGCGAATGGATCTGGCGATGTGGGAGGAGGACTCGATCTCGCGATGAGAAATGGGAATATGATTAAAACATGTAGGCACAGTTCATTTCAATGATACGAGTTTTCAATTTCAGTTTTGATACAGTTAAAAGTTCTTACAACAAGTCACGTCTAACTTTTTTCGTTACAGTTAAAAGTTCTCATATAAAATTATATCTTAACTCAAATTGAAAACTCGAATCTACGAATTGAACGAAACCGTAATTAATCTTCAAACAAATACGCTCAAAAGGTGTTTTCCACATTGAAAAGGAATCCAACACATACAACAGAAGCGTCATGACTTGCAGATCGTGACGTAGGCCTGTTTGGCTATGTAATATGACTTCAAAACAGTTTTTTGTTTTTAAATGAAAAACGAACAAGGTGTTTAGGAAATACTTTTTAGCGACAACCTTTGTTTTTTTTTTTTTTTTTTTTTTTTTTTTTTTTTTTTTAGGAAAGAAACATCTTTTAAAAATTACAAAACCAACAAAATGTTATGTTGTTTCAAGTACTTTTAAAAATAAATTTATATAGTCATGGTTTGTTTGGATGAATGCACCCTTAATTTTTTGAATTTAGTAATTTAGTATTTTTTTTTTACAATTAGCCCTCTAACTTAAAAATCTTTGCAATTGAGGTCTAATTGGAAACGCAGTCTGTTTTTTTCATAATTTTGATCACATAACGCATACGTGAGCATCGATTGAGGATACTAAAGATTATTTCTCACCCTTAGAGATTCTCAACAAAATAATAACCCTTGAAAACTAAGAGTTGTTTATGATAGCTGATTGTGTTCATGCACATTAATTACTCTGATATCAATATAATCAAATAAGTTGGGTGAGAACTTACCTTCATTATCCTCAACAGATGCTCATGTGAGCGCCACGTGATCAGAATTGTCAAAAAAACACAGAAGCCATTTTTTTATTGGGCCTTAATTGCAAAGATTTTTAAGTGAAAGGGGTCAATTGCCAGGACAAAAAGAATAAGGACTAAATTGCTAAATTTAAAAAGTTGGGGGGTGTTTATACAAAAAAGACTATAGTCATCTATTATATATATTCAAATTATATTTTGAGTCTTCAACTTTTAAAAAATGTTATGTTGACCCCTTCATTTTTTGTTCTCGGAACAATTGTCAAACACTACATGTTCTTTGGGAATAAGTTGAAATAACATGGTAAATTACCAGTTTTAATCTAGTAGATTACATATAATTATTTTCTGGTGATTGTCTTTTTTATTTTAAGAGATTGATGACTATCACAAAAATATCAATGACACAAGGGAAAGGAAATTGAATTTTTTATGGAAGGAATGTGACAAGAAATTACCAAAAGGATGAAAAGAAAATTAAAAAATGACGTTACTTTCACAAAATAATAAAATAAGTACATAATGTTGACTGTAACAACGTGATGAGCACAATTCTTCATGCCAGATATGTCTTTAAGTACGAGTATTATATTTTTTTTCCCCTTCCACGAAAGAACATTAGTTTTGTTGGCTATTTTATTTTTCATTTCCTGCTACCTAACGGGAAATTTCTTAGAAGCTTAAAATAAGAAGGCAAGACAAATTAAATTAAGATCAAGTTGACCAAGTGCTTAGTCTTCTAATTAGCATTAACCTTTGAAATAAATAGACAGAACGTTTATTTGTGAGTATCTTATTAATCAAATGATTTCATTTTTCCCTTCCAGTTGCCGTCGATCAGATCCACAGCTTTAGACATACCCGCTCATGAGGCCACCCTCTAATTTGCAGGTTGATCTTGAGGTATGATCGCATGACTTAATTATTATTTCTCATAAGATAACTCCTTTTTTTCAAGAGTAATTAGGTAGATGACTAATAGTAATCACTTCTTAACTCTTTGTTTCTTTATTGTAATTCGTTTTTCCTCCCTCCATAAATTCAAGACAAAAAAAAAAAAAAGAAACTTCATTACTCAACAAATTGCACCAGCAGAGCTGGCACAGGTTAATCCTTATCGGTTATTAGTTATTCAGGTAACGATAATTTTTTCATAAAAAATAGTACTTATTCAATATCTTTTTTTTTTTAAGAAGAAAAGATTTCTTTTAGTGTCTCTAATCTTTATAATTTAGTAGTTTGTTTAATAGAGCGCGTAACTTCGTGGATATAGTTGTATACCGACCACACAAAAATTTTCTGTGTTCATTCTTTAATTTACACTTTTGGTAATTTAATTAATTGGATGTTAATTAAATTTAGTAAAATTCTGAAAATTTTAACAATTATCTTTTTTTTTTAACAGAAAGGATGCTTGGTTTCTTAAGAATAATAATATTAAAAAAAAGAGGTGTACTCAAAACGTTCCTAGTCCTCTCTCCTATCTTAAAAAGAAAATATTTCTGATTTTAGTTTTTTCCGTTGATAATTCTTTATATATGGTTGGTGTTGATCTTGAAAAGGTTGCAATATCTTCTTGTGAAGATCATATATATATATATATATCACCTCGGTGTTATTTATAACCATATGTTCTCCACAAACAAACTAATTATTTGGAAAACTTGACTTTTGATTTGACTATATGTGTGTGTACAGAATGAAGTGGCTTTCTGATTATTTTGGGGGGTAGAAGAATATGAGTATGGCTGCTGGTGGTTCCTCTTCTCACATCACTTTGAAGAAGATTAAATATGATGTGTTTATTAGTTTTAGAGGTGAGGATACCCGTTATAATTTTACAAGTCATCTTCATAGTGCTTTATCTCGAGAGAAAATCAAGACCTTCATAGATGAGAATGATCTCAAGATTGGAGATGAAATATCACCCACACTTTTGAAAGCAATTGAAGAATCAAAGCTTTGTCTAATTATTTTGTCGGAAGACTATGCTTCCTCTAGATGGTGCTTAGATGAACTCGCGTACATTCTCCAATGCAAGAAAACGGCTGGACAATCCGAAGTTCTAGCTGTTTTTTACAATGTTAAACCATCAGATGTAAGAAAACAACAAGGAAGTTATGCGGTTGCGTTTGCTAAACTTGAGGAACGTTTTGAGGATGAGAAATTGCAAGCGTGGAGAGACGCTTTGAGAAAAATAGCTGATCTATCTGGTTGGACTTCAAAGTCATTTAGGTAATCATAATCTAATTATTTTTAAGTTTACAATCTCCTGAATGTACATTTTATTTTTTTATAGAGATATATAAACATAATTGACTCTTATCTAAAGCACCCTTTCAGTGATTTATGCATCTTTCAACATTTAAAAATTATATCATCAGTATGAAAGATATTAGGTAATCGATTTCTTAATTACTTATTTCTGCATTATTCATACGTGATACGTTTATACTAATCGCTATCATTATATTATGTTTGTGCATTGACATGCTGGCAGGTCTGAGGACAAATTAGTTGATACAATTGTTGATTCTGTAATTAAGAAACTCAGGGATATTTCTGCGCCAAGGGATGATTTGAAGGGCTTGGTTGGAGTTATTACGCGGATTGAGACAATTGAATCGTTGTTACACATTGGTTCATTAAATGTTGGTCCTGTGGGCATTTGGGGCATTGGTGGCATAGGTAAAACAACTCTTGCGCGTGCTGTATTCAATCGGTTATCTTCTCAATTTGAAGCTTGCAGTTTTCTCGAAAATGTTCGAGAACAATGGTTACGGGCAGATGGACCAAACCTGTTAAAAAATATACTTTTCTCAGAATTGATGGAAGGTGAAAGTTTCCTACCATTTACAAAGGACAGGCTTCGTGAAAAAAGCGCGCTCGTTGTCTTTGATGATGTTGATGACGCAGAGCAATTCGAACAGTTAGTTGGTGATTGGTTTGGTCCTGAAAGTAAGATTATTGTAACGAGTAGAGATCAACAAGTTCTCCGAAATATTGAAGTCAGTGAAACGTATGAGGTTAAGGAATTAAATCATGACGATGCTCTTAAACTCTTTTCTCTGCATGCTTTTAAGGAGAAGGCTCCTACCGAAAATGAGAAAGAGTTGTCAAAAAGGGCAGTAACTTATGCTGGACGTGTTCCGTTGGCTCTCAAAGTTTTCGGCCGCCACCTTTTGTCTAAAACGACAAACGTATGGGAAAGTATATTAGACAAACTGCAAAAGTTTCCAGACAAGAAGATTCAGAGAGTGTTGAAAATTAGTTATGATGCACTAGAGGAAGTGGAGAAAGATATATTTCTTAATATTGCATGCTTCTTTAAAGGGAAGGAAAGAGATTTTGTAGAAGGAATACTAGATGGTTTTAAACTCTTTGCAACTGCAGGAATTGAAGTTCTCATTGATAAAGCACTAATAACAATTGGATTTGGGGACACCTTAGAGATGCATGATTTGTTACAAATGATGGCTTTTGAAATTGATCGCAAGAAAGGTAGAAGGTTATGGAATGCCG